GGATGAAATCGAAGGGAATGCTCGAATGAAGAAAGACCTTGCACACATTGGGACATATGCTTTCCTGAAGATGCTTCTGGTATGTGTGCATTTTTTTTAAAAAAAATTCTATCATTCCTTCTCTTTTCCCTTAGTGGTAGTGTTTGTGTCAGGTCAAGTGTGCTTCATATTGTTATCAATTTATTGATAAAAGCATTCTCCCTACTTCTGTAGGAGGACAATTTTATTCATGCGGATATGCACCCTGGGAACATTCTTGTCCGTTTAAATGAGAGCAAGCTTGCAAGGAGACGATTTTTCAGAGCTAAGCCCCATATTGTGTTTCTTGACGTGGGCATGACTGCTGAGCTCACACGATCTGACAGGGATAACTTACAACAGTTCTTCAAGGCAGTGGCTACTAGAGATGGTCGTACTGCTGCTAAGTGTACCCTTCAGTTATCAAAGAATCAGAGCTGTCCAAATCCAGTCGCCTTCACCGAGGTAAAGTATGAAACTATGTTTTAGGAAAAATGTCTGTAAACATTTAGGACTCATTTAAATCCAATGTCTTTTTACATATGGATATTGCTGTTTGATGATAATGATGTTGACGATTGAATGGAAGTAGCTTCTTTTTGCATATGCTACACATGTACTTTATTTATTGTTGTGCCTTTTGACTCATATCTATCTTAAAATGTGGTGTCTCTCTTGATGCATATGGATGCAGACTCTATTCTGTTAGACCCAGGGCAGTTCATCATGTTTTTTAATAATTATACCATGATAGTATAGACAATAAAAATAGTCTCTAAAAGTTGAACTTGTGGCTTTGGTTACACAAATGTGACTGATCACTAGAGTGACCGTTCTTCTAAGTATGCTGGCACGTGGATCTCCGGATCTCCGGCGCTAGCTTTGTATGGTGCATCATGTATTGCCCATCTTAATGTTCCTTTTCTGTTTGTTGGTTGTTTATTTTGATCCAGAGTTTGACCAGTGCACTTTATTTGCTGACAGTTTCTTCTGTTATGCTGTACTATTGATGTGTAGTACTAATTGTAGTGTGCAAATGTTTTTCATTGAATGACAATTTTAATTTCATTTTTTATAGGAGCTGGACATGACGTTTACATTTTGGGGGACGCCTGAAGGGGATGTTTTTCATCCTGTTGAATGCATGCATGAATTGCTTGATACAGTTCGCCGCCACAAAGTCAACATTGATGGCAACATCTGTACTGTAATGGTTACCATTTTGGTCCTTGAGGTAAACATCTTTGGTAAAAGAATTGATATGTGAAATATTTAATCTTAAGTATTATGCTGTGGCACTGTGCAGAAGGGATTCAATAATATTTACTGAAAAAAGGCTATAGACATGTATGATATGCAGATTCAGGTTCCAGTTTGTGAAAAAATGTACAACAATATAGCATGCACAAACTGACAGCTTAGCAACTCGTTGACAGCCATTAATTTTCTGAATAGCATTTAATTTTATTATATATTATATTGAACTTCATTTTCAAATAAGGAAAACAGTAGGGGGGAAACCTATGTATACTTCATTTGACCAAACTTCATATGATTCTATATGAGGGAGTATGCTTGCTAGACATTTTGATGTGCGTTGTAGTTTGAATGTAGGCTTGTCTAGTACCACCCAAGCTAGCATATAAAGCCATAAACGTATGCAATGTCTTGGTGTTCGATTGTTCTGCACAGGGAAGCCTTGTTTGGTGAAATTGTGTTTGGTTGCTTACATGTGTTGCATGTAGTCACCTCCATGCTCTAGTAGAGGTCTCATGTTTCTAATGGAGGTAGGGCAGCTGGGAAGTGAGCCATCAGCTTGAGCAAATCCGCATTGCCTAATACGACTAATGTTGCATTGGGCCTACTTTGAGCAAATGTGCAAGCCTACTTAAGAGCTTTTGCGGGCAACCAAGCATGGGCAAACTGCATTGCACAAGCTTGGATACAGGCTAATGCAGTCAACCAAACAAGCCTATAGTATCAGCTACCAATACCTTGGTTTTATATGCTACTCCTTTCATACTAATTTGTTAGCCCTTGCCCATGATTAACTTTACCTCAATTTACTTATAGATGGGCATACACAATATGCTTACATGATAATGTTTCTGTAGGCTCTTGTCTAGAGTTTTTTATGCTACCTACTAATTGGATGGCCCATGCCCATTATTAATTTTACCTCAATTTGATCATAGATGGATACACAGTATTCTTACATGCTAATGTTTCTGCAGGGGTGGCAACGCAAGCTGGACCCAGGCTTTGATATCATGCACACGTTGAAGACTTTACTACTAGAGAAGGATGTAAAGCAACCAATCGATTTTTTCTCATAAACAAATGATGTCAGGTAATGTTGATTCTTGTAAATGAGCTTTTTTTTTGTTCGATTTTTTTCACCCAAGAAATTTATAGAGCAATTACTACTGCACCCAAGGAATAGTACCAGCATGAAAATAATGTCATGGCCTTTCTTCTAGAAAAATCTGTTGCTGCAGGGAATAACATTGCAGCTGATTACGGCAATTTTGTTTTGATTTGTGATTCCTATGCATAAAACTTGTCTCACATGATTATACATTTCAAAGTTCCTCTGGAACAAAACTTCTAAAGTTGGGTTATTATTCTGATTGTGAGAGATGACAAATCCCATAAGAGGATGCCATCTTGTTAGCTTTGTTGCTCGTTGAGGTTGGTTGTCAGAAGCTGGTCTCTTCACCTTATGTAGTTTGGCTGTGGCACAACATAACAAGAAGTCTGGGATACTTTGTGGGTTACTTCTAAGATCTATTACATCCCAACAACCTGTATGATATGCATTCTGCACCGTCTTTGGATACCCACTTGTACTTGGTGCCATCGAGCTAGTAGTTTCTTTCTTATGTTCTTTGCTAGTCTGGTCATGATAAGTAGCAAATTGGTACATTCGGATTCCGCAAACTCAAAATTCTGACCCATGTTGCTTCTCTCTTCAACAGATCGTTCTTATGTATAGAAACAGTGGAAGATGATGCCCTACCGATCAGAAGGCGAAACATCTAATCTAACTCGAAGCAACCTGGCATTAGTTGAGCAAATATACTATGCACTATGTTCTATCTCTCCTTTCTGATAGTAGAAGTAACAGAAACTGTCTGCACTAGGTTTCATTTTTGACAACCTTCAGTATGAAAATTTTGCCCACCACCCAGGCAGGTCCAGCCATGGGGTTCATTAAAATTCTTGGAAAGTTCCTGTCCACAAACTCCGTGGAAGAGCAAACAATTGTAGAACAGAGTAGTCATTGAGGCCGAGTTGAACTACATTGCTTATAGCACACATAAGTTTGGTTCCAGACTTATGATTCGGACCGGCAACCATGCCATCTGATGTAAATTTTGGACCCAAAGAAGAAATGGCTAGCCTGAAGTTTTGGTTGTCCGTTTTGAGCGTCTCGTGCGGATGAGCCGTTATTATTCCTTGTGCCTCGCTGCCTTTTGTTGCTTCCCGTGTATCCTATGCGCTGTACTCAATCAATGTTCAATGGTTGGATCGGAGGACGGTACCATGCCATGGCACATTGGCACCTCGGCTTTTGCTTAGGGTGCCCTGGCTCTGGCTGGCGGTCTGGCCTGGGCTTTCAGCTGCCTTGACCTTCTGGACTGGGAATCTTGCAAAGCCGGCATGGCATGTCGAACAGCGTGTACCAGGTACCACGTTTCGGGTTTCATGTCGAGTCGGTTTCACCAATTACAGCGCTATACAGCCTATACAGGGCTCTCTTGAGCGCTTCCCTGGGGTAGCTAGGTCGTGCCGTCGTGTGGCGTGGCTGGCGTTCGCGTACGTGAACCATCGAGGTTTTCGGTGGAGTTAAGCCGGCGCCGGCCGATACGAAAGCCGGGATATGCACGTAGTCGGTAGTACTAGGATCCACCACGTTGGACAGGAGCACGTTTGGTATTAGCTCATGCTCTCGCAGTCGCACCGTCCTGGAGTCCCGGTTGCCGTCGGCAAGGAAAGCTGGACCTGCCATCCGGACGTGTGGGCCGGCCTCAACTAGCTCGGTCGACCCTGGCATCAAGCAATGCTTGACGGACGGTCACTGCTGAATGCTGACCGCGCAGCATTCGAATTGCAGGTGCACTAGTCTGGCGTTCATGGTGCACCGCACCAGTTCAGGACCAAAGATGGTTGCAGCGAGAAATTTTTAGGTAGTACAAATCATGCATAGGTACGTCCATGGCTCCACGCTAGGGTCACGTGCTGTGTTGTGTCCCCTCTTCGATCCTTGGCGGCGTTCGGTCAAGACACAAGGTCTCTGAGGACTCTGACGATTCAGACGTAGACCTACACGGGGTGTTGTAGGCACGAACTATAGTACTATACGTAGGTGACTGGTCTGCGTATCTCTGCAGTATACACATGCGTATCCAAACCTGTTGTGCCATTATGGCCCGGTTCGCGTGCCTTTAAATTTGGTTTGATCCGCTTTTTTTTCATCCGAAACAGTTTTTTCTCTCACAAATTTCTCCAAACCATCCAAATTCTTCCAGAACCATACCATCCGATCCTATAAAAGATGGTCCTATAAAAGATGGTCACGGCCTACGTGTCACTAAAAAGTTCAAACACACCTATATGTGTCATGATACTTTACTTTTTTTTTCCTTCTAAGCCATTCGTGGACTTTTTCATCTAACAGTATCAAATAAACGGATAAAATGACCGTCTTACCCTACAGTGGCGCCCGTTCGTCAGCAACCAAACCTTCCTCTTTCTCTTCTCTTCTGTTCAGCGCCGCCGCGGCCGAAAGACGCAGCACTGGGGGGCATCCCCGGCCAACGTGACCGGCGCCCCGGTCATCGCTACCGGCGTGTGGGCGCGCTCCGGTGCGCGCGGGCACCGCATCCACAGCGGCCGCCGGCGAGCGTGCGGGCACGAGTGTAGGCACTGGGATGGAGCAGGTCGTGCGCGCACGAGCAGCGGGAGCGTAGTGGCCCGGGATGGAGCTGGCCGTGCGCGCGGTGCGGATGGGGATGCAGTGGTGGAGGCCCACCGCGGCGTCCTCGCTGGACGACCAGAGGTTCGGCGGGCCCGCGGTGGAGAAGCTGGCCGCGGGTGCTCGTTGCCGGCAGCGCGAGCGCCCCGCCCCACGCCAGGGACGTGCAGGCCGTTCTCGACGCCGGCCGCGCGGGCGCCACCGTGAGCACCCCACGAGTGGGAGCAGGCCACCGGCAGGGGGGCCAGGCGGGAGGAAGCCCAAATATATAAGACGCTCACCGCCAACAGCCAAGGGCAAGCGGGCGGGGCGGCCGGCCGGGAACGGGGAGCGATCAAGGTGCTATAGCCGATAATGATCGGACACCGAGCCGCCCGACGAGGATGGCGCGGCCGTGGCCGCGGCCTCGAGCGAGGAGACTACGTGCACCACGACGAGGATGCGCGCGCGGCGTCCACGACGACAAGAGCAGAGCAGGGCAGGAGATGCTCAGCGCCCCGAGCACGACGACGACGATGCTCCATGCCGCGCGGTCGAAGCCGGACACTGGCGCCCCACCCCATGGCGATGTCGCTGTTGCCTAGACGGCCAGAGCGCGTCCGCATCCGCCACCTCCTCCTACATACTAAATTTAAAGTGTATTATGCGGATTTGCTTCCTATGCCAAGTCCCTGCTGGATATTCTAAAATTTTAGCTGAGCGCATGGGGCAGCTCTCCGAGGTGTTCGCCGTGCTGGCCGACATGCAGTGCAGCGTGGTGGACGCCCGCGCGTGGACGCACCGCGGCCGCCTTCCTCCGCGGGGAGGACGCGGAGGCCGACTGCGTGGCGCGCATCCTTGCCCGCCTCAGCCACCTCCTCCGCGCGCGACAGCGAGGACCCGGGCGCCGTGGCAGCCATGCCCGCCGCGGGCGTCGCGCACCCCGACCGCCGCCTCCACCAGCTCATGGCCGCGGACCTCGACCGCACGCTGCTTTTCAGGGCCCAGCGGCGTGTCGGGGCCGGGGCGCGGGGCAGTCGGCGGACGCTGGCGCATCGGGAGTAAGGCTGGTTGAGCTGTGGCGATGAAAAAAAAAAATGCTGCTTTGTGGTCATGGTTTGGACACATGGAAAAGCGCCCCACCCCATGGCGATAGAAAAGCTAAAAAGCTATTTGGTTAAATAAGTATAAAATATACCTTTTATCTTTATTTCTCTTGAAACAACTATGGAAGAACTTTTATTCTGGCAATCGAAAAGGCGAAAGAAAGCCAAAAGGTGAGTCAAGCGCATCGGGATTTTCAAAAATGAACTACTAAAAAGCATTGCTTTTGCAAAAAGACGCTGCAAAAGCAGCCCCTTTAGTTGAGCTTTTGGCTTTTGGACGCAAAAGCCGCCGCCAAAAGCCCAACAGGGAGGGCCTAAGATGACAACGCGGTCGAGTTCGGATCGGGTTGAGTCTCCATGCACTCAAACGCGAAACCGAATTGAAACCCGAATCGTCGTGGCGGCCAAACCGATTCGGGGAAAATTCATCACCAAACCGCCGCCTCCACCGGATCATGGCCCGAATGGATACCGACGCTGTCTTTTCGAGGATATATATATATATATATATATATATTCACATGTATAAACAAGAGGCAACAAATAATAAATATTTTCATGAGTCAACTTTAAATAAATTTAATAATAAACAATTATTATTATTAGTATATTATAAAATATAAGTTTTAATTCCAAATGATTTATTTGGATATCCATTGGATATCCACGGGTGAAAAACCAAACCCTAAACCAAAATGAAACCGTGGGTGAAAAACCATCCCAAACTGGCGCCCAGTAGGAAAACCCAGAGATATCCACCCCAAACCCGATCACGCCATCCTTAATCGGACCCAACAAACCGCCTCCACTCCCTCTGTTCGATTTCCACTGCTCTTTTCTCGCGAGGAACCGCCGTCGCTATAAATAAACCGTCAATAATATATATATATACACACAGGTGCATTATATATAGAGAAAGTCAAACCGATGCTCCGCCGAGGCCGCCTCGCCGCCCCCACTCGCCCTTCGACTTTTTTGACAAACCGCCTTGCTCCCCTGTTCGGTTTCCGTTGCTGTTTTTCTCCACACCCCGCTCATGCGCTCTCCGCCCATTTGAGAAAACGCCCCCCACTCGCCCTTCATTTTTGTATTTGCTCGTACTTTCTCCATTTGCTTCCACCTCTTGATTTTCGGACTCCAGGGTTGAATTTCTAGACCTAGGGTTCGGCGTCGCCGTGTTGAGGCGCTCAAATTGAATCGCCGCTTTTTATCCCGATGTAAGTCATCCCTCATTCCCTATCCTTACTTAATTTTGAATTGAATTCGTTTTAACTGGCTATTACGCTCGTTTGTAATCGGTTTTTTTATGGTTTGTTTGCAATTTAGAGGATCCATGGGGCAATTGCAATTGTAACCATATTAGTACTTAATTTTGTAATTTTTTGCGATGACTTGTGTAACTAGCCTATTTGTTCTTATGTTTGCAAATGGTAGGGTGTTGTAGTTGTAAATGGTCGACAATTCATTTGAAATTCAACCGATTTTTTGTAATTATTCTTTGCAACTCACTTAATGAAGTTGCATCTCTAGTGTTTTATCGGTTGCAATTGGTTGACAATCTTTGGTTTGTTCATTTCGGGTTCTAATATGTAGAGGATCTTTGTTCGATTTTTGTTTTGTTTTGATCTATGGCTCATGGGCTCAAAATGACACCATTTTTCATGGGTTCTAATATATGCATGAATTGGGACTTTTTTGTTTTCGATAACCTTATAAGTGTTGATGGACATAGTACAAACGTCGGACTCAAAACCTTTCATGTTTTGCTCTTGATGACTTGTGTAACTAGCTTCTAACCTTAGTTGTAACTGGGAGGGTGTTCAAGTTGTAATTTATTAACAATTCATCTGAAACTAAACTGAAATTGTAACTATTGCTACATCCTGCTTTTTCAACCCTTTTTGAAGGTGCAAGTGTAGTGTTTTATTGGTTGCAAATGGTTAACAGTGCAATTTTATGTTTTATTCTCTTTTTTTGTGCAACTGGCTTTTTTTCTTATGTGTATTTTTTTCAATGGCAGTGGTTATATTGAATTCGGAAGGGAATGTATCAGGTTCCCAGGGCAGTGACCCTCCCCGGCGTTCCTCTCGTGTTGCTTCGCATGAGCAGAATGTATCTGGTGCTCAGGGCAGTGACCCCCCGGCGTTCCCCCGTTTTGCTCGCCCGAGCGAAAAGAAAAAGGCTGAATGTATACAAGTCAAAGGGCGGGAAGAAGAGATTAAGGCTCCCAGTCCACCCCCGACTGACGATGTTGAGAGTGAAGTGCATGAACAGATGGGAAAGAGAGCAAGATCAGATTTTGATCCCGCAGCGATGGTGGTGACACAGGAGTGAACAACATGGAGAGGATGATGCCGAGGTTTGGCGGCGATGGTGACACTTGGTGCTTGATGGTGATGGGGATGCGGTGAATGTAGCCAATAAGAAGAGGCCCACAAGCGACCTCCACGCAATTCGTTGCTCTCCTTCAAAATTTCATGAACTTCTCAAAGCTCTCCCTGCCGACCTCGAAGATATAGTAAAGGCAAGGGGTTTTGGTGGATTGTTGGGATTCAAACCAACTTTGCCTAGATAGGAAGTTGCTCACACGGCTTATGTTGAGGCTTAACCCGAAACAATGAAATTAGAGCTTGGTGGTGGTAAAGTGATTGATGTTAATGAGCACACTATTTGGTGTCCATTCCAGATACCCAAAGTTGGCGGTGACCCACCTTATATGTCCGACCTTTGAAGAAGCTCGTGTTAGGCGGAATGAGTTGGGAGAACAAATCTGTCCCAGTACATACAAAAGACTGGGTATCAGGATTACGGATATTGTGGATGGACTGAAGAGCAAGAAGCTCACGGGGGATTTGGGTCTCAGGGCATTTTTTATGGCTGTATTCTAGTCTCTACTTTTCTCAAACACGATAGTTGCATCAGGCTTGAGGATGTTATATATCCGAGGATCCGGACAACATTGGCAAGATTAATTGGTGCAAAGCGAGAGTGGACAACCTTAGCAAAGCTGCACATTTGTATAAAAATGATTTCGTGGCGAAGGGCGTCCATGCACCTCTCACAGGATGCGGTATTTTTCTTATGGTAAGTTTTTGTTGCATTTACTGGCTTTGTGACACTAGTAGTTTTCCCCTGGTTGTGTAGTAGTTTCTCCAAAAACACATATTTTGTTCATGGCAAGAGTTTTAAATGGGGTCATGGCATAGTAGTAATTGTGTTGTAGTTTTGTTGCAATTGGGTCATGTTTCCAGTAGCAATTGGTCTCCTGTTGATCTTTTCTTATCTAGCATTTTTTATATTTTTGACTTGTAATTTTCTGCAGTAGTTTTTGTTGCATTTTCTTGGCTTGTTACACTAGTAGTATTTTTTTCTGGCTGTGCATTTAGTTTCTCAATAGTTGCTAGTGGGGGTCATGGCACCATAGCAAATGTGTAGTAGTTTTTGTTGCAATTGGGTCATTCTCCGGTAGCATTTGGTCTCACTGTTGTTTTTTATTTTGTTTATCATCATCTCTTGTATTTTTGACTAGTATTTTTTCGTAGTAGTTTTCGTTGCATTTTTCTTGGCTTGTTACACTAGTAGTAATTCTCTGGGTGTGTAGTAGTTTCTCCAAAACACACATTTTGTTCACGGGGCAAGAATTTGGAACTGGGGTCATGGCACTAGTATCAACTGTTTAGTAGTTTTCTGTTGCAATTGGTTCATGTCTCTAGTAGTAATTGAATTGTTCATGTCATCGTGAGTAATTGTGTAGTAGTTTTTTGTTGCAATTGGGTCATGTCTTGAGTAGTAATTGGTGTCCTGTGTGTGTTTTTGTTTTGTCTTTTTTATACATGCAAATGCTATATCGTCGATCACTGCAAAGCATGGGCTCTGTGTAGACTCGTTCGTGCTCCCCTGATGTGCTATTTTGGATAGCAAAATTATCGACAGAATTACAACATTGGATCGCAGGGGAGATGTTTCAGAAGATGCTATTGAATATGGCAACCTCAGGGTAAGATGCTGATAATTTGTTTTTCTTTTTTTGATTTTTTCTTTTTTGCATGTTTTTTATCCAAATTATGTGATTTTATGTTTGGATAACCAGTTTCATTTTTTTTTTGTTTTTTAAAAACTGCAGTTGAGAAGCATCATCGCCACATGTTATACACCCCGCTTTTGTCCCATTTGCTCCCGCTATTGTCTGCCCCTCGCCTATTCTTGCTCTTGAGGGAGCTTCTTATGCTATTGGTACCTCAATGGACGTGGTCGGCACACATCATCCCCTGGCGGGCATGTTGCCATGGAGCTTGACCTCTGTTCTACACCAATACCCGAGCTTCCGTCTTGCTTTTGGCGAGCATTGGTGATGTAGTTGGAAGAAGTAGGAAGTCGAGGCGCTTAAGATATTGAAGGCTTTTGATGACAAGATCTTGCTTGTGCCCGGACCTACGTGACCAAAGGCTGCTCAAAGACGTTACTATGGCCAACGATCTAATGGCAAAAGTCATCATAAGTGCTTGATTGCTATTGAAGCTTCTTCTTTGATTCCCATCTTTGGTAGGGAAGGCGCTAATGAGCGTAGGAGGGAAAGAGGAGGAAGAAGAGTAAATCTGGAGCATCGGGTAGTTTGTTGCGATTTTCAACGTATTCATATTGCAATTACTAACATATATATGTGTTGCAATTGTGTGTCATACCAGTTTTGAAATTTTTATTATCGGTTTGTTTGCAAGACTAACAAATTTTTGGGTATGCAAAGAATGACTAAATTAGTTGTTGATGAAGATCAACGCATAAGCGATGGGTGACGAAGATGTTCTAGAAGAAGAAAATGTTGGAGCAAATTCTGGAGGAGGTACTTTTGTTGCATTTTGTCTTTGTTTCATTTTTCAATTATCACATTATCTATGTTGCAATTGGGGGGCAGGGGGGCCAACAAGCTTACGTGGGGTGTCTATTTGTTTGGTATCCAGG